CGAATATAACTTTACGATACACTTAATTTCAACAGTCGCTCTGTAACAAACGCTATAATTCTCACGTGCTTAACAATATTCTCTCTGACTGCAGTTCAATTACTCATTATCTCTGTTCTCCCGTCACGTTGTGAACGTCTTATATATACAATACTAACACATATCTAGTAAATGCTAGGGCATTCTTGAAGGAACAGGATATTTCTAGGACGCAACAAATAGAAATATCTACGTCTTTGTGTTCAACTGTGAAAGTTTTAGTCTGATTAATTTTTTAAGAGAACACTGAATATTTCTGCTTCTGTGAACTTGCGAGTATAATTTCTGTTGAATTAAAATATTTTATTCGATAGTCTGAATCCAATTTCTGTGGCAGTTAAAAAATGTTTAGCACGTCCTCTGTTAACACTCGTTTTATTTAATAACAGTGATAAACGTCGAAACATGTACAGTTAACATTTTAGAGGCCATCGATCGGCTGAATCAAAAATGTTTTTAATTGTGTCTATATTTTAACGTTGTGTCTTATTTATTTATTATATTACTATTCAACTCTTTTATTTGGTTATCCAATCAGAAGAAGGTTTGTTTAATATGTTGGACGTAAGGTCTATACGTTATGTTCTAGAGCACTATTTTTCAAACAACGAATCGTCACACCCACCCTACAGATCCATGGGATTTCACGAAAACAAACACACAAAAACTGACAGAATATTATTCACACGTAAATCGTAATGGTTTTTCGTTGTACTTGCATTTTAGTGGTCCACCATGACTCAGAGAGAGCCAGTCCCTGGTATCGAAAAGTTTTTTAGAATAAAACCAAAACCAAAAATACTGCTCGTCGACTGGTTTAAGATGTATCAGATCTGAAACACCGAATAAATATTTAATGTCAAGTACGGATAATTTCTGACAACAGTGTTTTTCAAGGTTTAAGTCTTTCGATTTTTGACAACACGATTGTTGAGTATATTGGAAATGTGAACACTTGTTTTATTAGAAGATGAACTATTTTTTTGAGGAAAAAACTAGTAGAGTTTGAGGTATATTGAATGAATATAATTTGCAAGAAGAGACAGTTTTGAGGAAATTGAAGGAGGACAGATTATTAAGGAAATAATATTGATTCAAATATAGCTGGATTACCTGGCTGATAGCTTGTTTGATTGAAGTTAAGCACAAAGTTACACAACGGGCTATCTGTGCTCGGGTATCGAAATCTGGTTTCCAGCGCTTTAAATCCACAGACATGCCGCTGCGTCACTGGGAAACTTTATAAAATAGTTATTAGGGAATAACTGTTATGTTACTTTTAACGATCAAGAAGTCAATAATTAAGGATTTCGAGCTTTGAAGAAACTCAAATAACAAGATTCTAGGTTTCTTGAAATCCCCAAATAAAATTAAATGATCGGAAAAGACGTTTTATTAAATAAACAGAAAGAGAGGAATGTTATAAAAATGGTGGCGAATATTCGTACATATTTCAGCAATGTCCAATTCTTATTTGTTTTCCTAAAACGTGCCTGATAATAATGAATTTGTAAAAATATGTTTGTCTG